CTTTTGAGGTCTGGAGCCGAGTCGCGCTCTCTGCGTTCTCTGCGTTCTCTTCGGAGAAAGGAAAAGGAAGAAGACTGGGATAGTTCGCAGAGCGTTCCGTCCTATCCTGAGAAGAGTAAGTTCTGCTTCCGACTGGAGCTGCGCTTGGGATTTTCCCCACCTTGTGGCCCGTCGAACAGAGACTGTGTCTCGCCATTGCGCAATCGCGGCTGATTGTGTGAATAATTACTAGATCATTCTATTACCGCGGCTTCGCTTCGTCCGTCGTCACAACCACAGCGAGCGCCATCGCATCGCTCTGCAGCTTCCATAAGCTCTTCAACATCTAGAGATACCATACGTCAAAACACCATGTCGGGCGCATTAAGTTCGGAAAGGAGTCGCACGCGGAGGGAGAGGACTTTCGTCGGAAGTGAATGTGCCGTCTGCGAAGAGCCGTTAGAGCACACGCTTCGCGGCGAGAGGATTCTACAATTCTCATGTTCGCATGTTTCGCACGAGGCTTGCTTCTATGAGTTCATACGTGAATTCGAGTCGCAGTATTGCCCCTCATGCAATGCGCCTTTACATTTAGACACGAGTCGCGGAGGTAATGTTCTGGATATCGGTTAGTTGTTAATATGGTAGTCTAAGTTGGGTTTATGCTAACTTTTGCACAGAAAAAATAACTAGCATGGTACGATCCGTGTCAGCCGATAACAGGTCGTTGACAGCACCAGCCCAGAGAGAACCCCAGAGAGACCCCTGGGAAACCCAAGGTGGCCGTCCGCCTAGTGGCGAGTCTAATGTTAGAAGTGTAGCCCCTAGCAACGGTGGCCAAAGTATCACTCGAGGTAGTGTCCGAGATAGTCGGGAGCCGCCACCTTCGGAACGTTATATGAACAACCATAAGCATGACCGTAGTAACAGCGAAGTGACCGGTATCACTGCGTCGACTGGTTATCCCGAGACGGCGCAAAGCGGCCCGCCGCGGCGCCATGACTACGACCTCCAAGCTATGGAAACGACACCGGGTAGCCCAAGAGCTATGTCGCGCAATCCGATCCCATCGCCTTCTGTTGTTGTTCGATCCGAATTCCCCACCATAACGCGTTCAAGGCAACAGCAGACCTTGACGTGTCTCATTACGGTAGAAGTTGCCGATAACAAATGGAAGCCTGATCCGGAAGACCTTGGTATCGTGAACCCAGCGCCACCAGCGCGCGCAGAGGATACTTTTACGCAAAGACCGCCGTCACCTGCGAGGAGTTCGCAGCCGCGCTTCTATCCATACGAAGCGCCTGAGGTGCTCGAGGAAATGACTGAGAACTTACGGAATCGGGTCGACAACTGGCACGGCCTCGACTTCAATAGGTATGTGATTGCGATCCCGTATCTTTCTATCACAAATTATTAACATGACGTAGGTTTGGAAAGCTTCGACTTTATGGCACTTTACGCGTTGGCAAGGACAAAGTTTCATGGCAGGAGTTGGAATGTTACCTCTTTGCCGAGATGCTCATTTGCGTCAAAGAAAAGAAAAACCTCCCACCTGCGCAACAACAACAATGGGACGAAAATGGCATGCCTCGGAAAGCAACCAGATGCACCTTGAAGGGTTCTATCCTTATCAAGAAGCATCTTAATGAAGTCACTGAAACCGGTATGAGTGAGTGGCCTATCTGCAAAACTAGAAGATCCAGCTAATTAATTCTTTTAACTTACAGTTGATGAGAACGTACTAACTCTCAGCCTTTCTGTTGCGGAACTCCCGCAGTTCCATCTGCGCTTTGAGAACCGAAACCAGCTGAAGCTATGGCAGCAGGCTCTTCTCGATCTCAATGCTGTTGAGCGATCCCCCGTCAGAAGCCCAGCATATGAACGTGCTGAGGCATCAGAAAACGAAGAAGATGAATGGGGTAGAGGAGGTCGGCCCCAACGAGTCTCATCGGTAGCTTCTTCTTACGGCGGACCCAAGTCCATCACTACGGTCGCTACTGAGTACACTAGCGTCGCGAGGAGCCCATTGGTTTCATCATTCCACGTACCTATTGATGTTGTTGTAGTGGTGCCTATCTCCTCTTCGATGCAGGGTGTAAAGATAAACTTAGTCAGGGACGCTCTGAAGTTCATGGTCAATAACCTTGGCGAGAGGGATCGCATGGGTCTCGTTACATTCGGTTCAGGAGGAGGTGGTGTGCCCATCGTAGGGATGACCACGAAGGCATGGCACGGATGGAACAATATTCTAAGTTCGATCAAACCTGTGGGACAAAAGAGCCACCGTGCGGACGTTGTAGAAGGCGCAAATGTCGCTATGGATTTACTCATGCAACGAAAGTACAACAACCCGATCGCGACGATCATGCTCATCAGCGACGCTTCAACATCTGATGTCGACAGCGTTGACTTTGTCGTCTCACGAGCGGAAGCTGCCAAGTAAGACGGATCCTATTACTAAAATAAAGTAAAGCAATACTAACAGTACTTAGGATTACAATTCATTCATTTGGTCTCGGTATGACTCACAAACCGGATACTATGATCGAGCTATCTTCGCGAACGAAGGCTTCGTATACCTACGTGAAGGACTGGATGATGCTACGCGAGTGTTTAGCCGGCTGCCTAGGATCACTGCAGTCTTTATCTCACCAGAACGTAAAGCTGAAACTGAAACTACCAGAAGGCTCGCCGGCCAGGTTCCATAAGATCAGCGGAGCATTACAGATCACCAAGCGTGCTACGGGTCGTGACGCGGAGGCTTCACTAGGTGATCTTAGATTCGGAGACAAGAGGGATATCCTAGTTCACTTAGTCATTCTTCCTGATAACACATCCCAGGAGCAGTTGCCTCAAGATCCGTGGGAGACAATTGTTTCTGGTTTAGAAGCTTTGGGTGGACCCGTGGAACATGACGACCAGAGAACAATCTCAGTAGAAGAATTGCCGCTTATCCAGGCGGATCTAGTCTGGGGCGATATTTTGAGAGATGGTACAATGATGCATCTCCCAAGACCGTCGTTACTTGCTATTACAATGTTACCAGCGCCGGGTAATTCTAAGAAGGCATCCTGGCAAAACAACCCGCCGATTCCGCCTCATCCACATATTGTCCAACGGCGGATGGAACTTCTCACATCTGACATGCTCACTCGAGCGTTAACGTTGGTTTCACGGGGCCAACACGATCGCGCACAGACGCTTCTTAACGAAACTCGTTCGATCTTGAAGGGATTAGGTAAAGGCGGACTTCCGCCTGTCCCTGTGCCGTCGTTGGCTAACAGCAAATCAAACCCGTCTACTCCTCAACCCGGATCAGATGCGTCTCCAATCTCGGCCACACCAGATCGCAAGCATACCCCGTCACCTACTGCTTCGGCTCATTCAGGTGCCAACGGTTTCCCACCATCAATTCACCGGAGCCGGTCGAACGACGGTTTGACTCTGGGCAACGCGAACGGCATTGACGTCAGCACAGTCGCTGCACTTGATTCTGAACTCGAGGCCAGCCTAGAATGGATTAACCACCCTGCCGTGTTTGGGCGTGACAGCCGCAAGGCCGTCCTGCAAGCCATCGGAGTTATCAGTAGCCAGCGCGCGTTTACGTTCCGAACGCCAATCGAGAGCCTGTGGGCTGGTCGTGTCAACGGTATTAAGAAGCTGACAGACAAGAGCCGCGAATGGAGGGAAGAAGCTGGCGGTGAGGGAATTATCGAAGAGCCATGATAGCATTTTACATTTTCACATCTATCTTCATCTGATATATATCCTCGGAGCTTTGACGCCCATATAGACGAACGACCTCTACGGGACCATGTTTTGAACGAATATTTTTTATTTTTTATTCTCGAGCCTGCCATTGGCTTAGGCTATGCTTCGCTCCTCGCTTTTCTTTTTGTCGCTGCTCTACCGCCTCAGCTTTTGGCTTGTTTTGCAGCCAAGCTTCTGATGATCTAAGATACCATTTCGGAGTTTTCTTATTACGCAACCCATGCGAGAACATGTCTATCTACCAGCACTATGTTATGTACGCCTACATCGCATCGTTTGGATTCGTTACATATCGGGAGCAAAGTCCCTAGATGGAGGGAATATTTTGTCGTTTTACGGTGGCTATCGATATTGAAAATGCGTCGGTGTCAAAAGGGAAAGACGGAAGGGGGGCAAAGGGTTGGTTGTCGCTCGATACTCACCGTCGATGAGAACCATTGGCGACGTTATTTTTAGTATTGCTTGAGCAGGAGGGGAGATTGGTGTCTTTTCGAAGCAAAGCGCTGTATATTAACGATTTACGGTCTGGTATAAAGAAATGCTAGCCGGGGAAGATTCCTGGTGCGAAATCAAGTTCTGATTGTTTTGCTGTTATGAAATATTTGATTCTGGCTTGTGGTGACTTGTTAAGTGCTTGATTGCTTGACTGGTGATGAAAAGTATGTTGTATTTAAATTGACCTAGTCTGCTGTTATATGGAGTGGCCGTCAACTTTGCGGTTTAAGATAAGGAGGAAGGGCATGTTAGGGTAAATATGCTAATTATAATATTTCGGATGCTAGTTTAGGTAGATAATTTATAGGATGTTTTTGTATAGTCATAACGAATGGCTACAATACCTTGGGTAGTTAGTGATTATAAATGATATTTCTTATATTAGGAGGGAAGTATAGATTTGACAAGTGCGTAGCTTGTGGTAGAATAACTGGTTAGTTACCTAGGTATATATTAACTAAGCAATAACTCGGAATGAATCTGTAAAGATCACATTAAATGGCATCCCCCCCCCCTCCGTTAGAACTATATCTTATATTTCACCTATATCACCAACCGTGATCCTTCCAACGTAATATATCAGCCCAACTAAGCTACTAGTTAGTCGTTAACATACGTTACCCGCCACCCATATTTCTACCGGCCTTACATCAGGTAGGTTAGGTAGCTTCTATAGCTCGAAGCTCCGAATATGTAAAGCCTAATCCAAGAACTATAAGTCCGAATAGGGGAGCGAGGGGAGGACTCCATAAGTATTAATGTGAAAGACGTTCTCTATAGTTCTATGTTTGCGACTCAACCAACTATCAGAAACCAGTAAATCAAGAGGCTCTGACAGACCGACTCAAGATATAAGATCATCGTACAGCTCATATAAATCGTGGGAATTTGAACTTGTTCAGTTAACAGTTAACGCACGTAGGATATAGATAACTAGCTTCATTGAAGCCAACCACGTCTCCTTCCCTCTTATCCTCCTCCCCCTTTCTCTCACCTCCTTACCGCTTAACAAAAAAACCCTTCCCACTTCCCGTCCCCTTCGCCGGCACCACGCCAACCCGTCTCCTCTTCAACAAACTCTCCTTCGACACCCTAGCATCCCTCCGCGCCCGCGGCGCGAGCCGCACATCGCCCTGCTCGGCTAGAACCCTGTACTTAGTCGATCCCACCACGCGGTCCCGCGGCCTCTTGGGCTGGTCGTCGAACGTGATCTTCGTAGGCTGCGGACCGGACAGCTTCTTCCGCTTCTTCAGGACCTGGCCATGGCCATTGTTGTTGTCGTTATCACCGTCTGCTTCGTCTTCGTCCTCGCTCGAGTCTGCGAGGAACTCGGCGGGTAGGTGTGTAGGGACGGCGAGTTTCTGCGCGCGCCGCCGGCCGGTTGTCACGGCCGTTTCGACTTCGGGAGTGTCGTCTTCTTCGGAGTCTGAGTCGTTGGAGGCGGAGTCTTTGCGTGGGCGTTTGGATTGGTGGACTTCGACTTCTGCGCGAGATCGTTTGCGGCGCTCGGCTTGTTGTTTGAAGAGGTTGTCTCTTTCTTGGCGCTTTCGTTTTAGATTGGCGGTTTGTCTGGAGATTTGGTTAGTATAGGGGTTTCGAGGTAGTGGGATATGGAAGCGCTTACTTCTCAGCGGCATCCAAAGCTGCCTGAGTTGATTTTTGTACCTCCTTGGCAGCGGCCTGTGTCGACACGGCTTCAGGCGCATCATCGTCGTCACTCTCCTCCTCTTCGTCTTTGGTGATATCTACCTCTACCTTCTTGCCTACTTCTGCCGCCGCCGCAACGAAGTTCTCTACATCGTCATCATCGTCAAAGACAAGATGCTTCCCCTTGGTCTTAGGGGCAGGCGTTTGATCAGGCTCTTGCGACAGCGACAGCGACTGTGAAGAAGCTAGTCTTTGGCTTGCATCCTCTTCCAACTGCTTCGAGACGCTCGAGAGTAATGCGGAGTCTGATCCCCATGATTTCTCTTCTTTATCTTGGGAATCTGGTACTGCGCTCGTCCGGGAACTCTTAGGTTTTGGGCTCGTAGGTCTTTCTGCTTCAAGGTGTGTTTTTCGGCCGGTACCCGTGCTTTCGTCTTCTCGTGTGCGCACGGATAGCTTCCGTTGTTTAGGATCTCCCACTTTTTGCGCCGGGGAAACAGCGCCTCCATTTTCGACGTTATTATCGTTCCCCGTTGATTTCCGCTTCGCGCGCCATGATTCTTTTGGTAGGATTACTTCGCTCTCAAGTGCATTTTCGGCATCTTTAGCGCGTCTTCGAGTAACGGGAGGCATATTTGACAGGAATTAATGGTATATCAACCAACAGAGAGCAAATCACTAGTGTCAATTTGTATGTTGATAGGTTTGTTCACGTCTTGAATGTTGCGCGGGTCGCACTTTTTTCTAGATGTTTGTTGATCGATAAGATAAACAAATCTCCGATAGGCTGATAGACTGATAGGCTGATAGGAATGATGTGGGGCCGGTGGTTAAAATAGACTTCGGTAAATCCTCGGTCTTCCGGATCTATCCGTCTTGTTCATCGTTCACTCACCTTGAACCCGTGGTATTATATCATTAAGAACGAAATATTGATTTCATGTTAAACTATTATGATATGATCTGAGGTCTTATGAGTTGATTCGTATCTTATAACATTCTGTCGTAAAGACGTGCTTGTTATGCGCTACTCGACAAGTAGCTTGATGGATAACCTCACTTACAACTTACACTTACACTTACCACTTACACCCCTACCCGTCTTAAGACTTTAGACACTTGAGCAGGTCAATTACCAGCTAGACCAATGAAGTAATCTCATAATTCCACCACAGCCATGCCTCCTAGACCTCCCCTTCGTCAATTGACGAGGTTATACACCCTATCCTATCAACTCCCCAAATTCCATCATGGCCGCCTCCCTCCCCCGGCCCGGTCAATATCAACCACACCCGCTCCGCGCGTCAAGGCCCGAGTCCCCCTACACCGAAACACCTTCATCAAAATCCGCTTCACAGAAGCCGACGTCCCCAGCCTCCCCTTCTGGACCAAGCACACCATCCCACCCTTCGTCCCCAACGGCGAAGTCTCTCCGACCCAATGTCTCGAAGCATGCAAACGCTACGTGCATCTCGCCATCGAGAACAAGCCAAACTGGCAGCAGCGCAACCTCTCCCCAACCGCCGCGTCCCCCACCACCCGCGACGGGACCATCCCCTTCTTCACGCTGCACTACGCCGCCATAACGCTCCTCCTCTTCGCCCAGACCCCCGGAAACCGGTTTTTGGCACTGCACATCCTAACCACCGGCACGACAGCCGGCTACGCCCCCTCGGCGCTAACCCTAGCGCGCCTCGGCCACAAGACCAATAATCTAGAAAACCCGCAGTTCGCGCACGCAAAGGAATCTCTAGCAAAGCTTCTCGCGAGCCCGGACCGCAGCAGCAGCAGCAGCGAGTACCGCCCCGACACGCTAACCCTAGCCGCCCTAGTCCAAATCGCCACCAACACGCGCGCCGGCACCGACCGCGCAACGCAGCTCCTCGAGGACGCGAGCAAAGCGTACTCCGCGGCCGGCGAAAACGCAGTGTGGCACTGGCGCGCACGCGGCGTGCTAGCGCTAAGCCGCCTCTTGCTCGAGCGGAAGCAGACCGCGCGCGCGCGCGCTATACTCTCCGCCGCCGTGAAGGAACTCGACGACCCGGAGATATGTTTCCAGTACGCGATGCTGCTCCCGCGGTCGGACCCGCAGCGCCGTGTTCTGATCCAGCGGGCGGCGGTGAGCGGGGTCGAAGAAGCGGCGCGCGAGATGGCGAAGGAGACGCTTGAGAGTTTGGAGGAGGAAAAGGGGCTGAGTGCTTGGGAGAGGAAGGCTCGGGGGGTGATTGCGGATGAGTGGGCGGGGATTGCAGGGGACAAGGCGATTCTTTGAGTATATGCCTTATGTACTTAACTCCCCTGCGATGTTTGATACCTATACATATGTATGCCTACCTACATACCTAAGCAGTGTGAGGTGCAGACGCTTGAGATTAAACAGGTGTTGTGGAATATAGGAAGGGGCACGGCTTGTACTATACTTATACTTACGTAGAGAATACCACCCCTATATATAAAATAGGGGAGGGGGAAAGATAAACCCCAATCGTAAAATAAACGAAATCTAGTACTCCATCATTACGCCTGCCTTGCCTTTATAATAGGTACCTAATACCCAACCAAGATGAGGTCCAAAGTCACACCAAGTCACCACCTATCATCTTCTTGAATAAATCAATTTCGCTCGCCTCCAAAAGCAAGTCTTCGCATCTGGGATCGGGTTAATCGCCCGACGCCTCCAGGTATCTAACTACGGTCGACCCCTTATATATATTGAATGCCTATCGTCACCCGTCTCCACGTATACCATATACACATGCGATCTCACCTGTGTAAGGCCCGCTAATAGTACGCCGCCCGGAGCCTGGTGAAGTAGAAAAATACCCTTTCCTACGGAGTCAGATAAGCAATCGTTGTGAGCGCCCGTCCTCTTCCGTTTCCCGTTCTGTATAAAAAAAAAGCCCACCGAAGCAAAAGTTTCGACCCGGTGTTCGCACCCTCATCTTCCAATACCAAGCATTAACCAGCCTCCCAAATTGCGCCACTCACTCCCTTCCCTACCTACTCGGTCATTCGCGACCCCCCAAATGGCGCAACCAATGCTAACGTATTAATGCTACCATGCTTCAACGCCCAGACGATGCATATGTCAATGTACTGTTTCGGTACTGAACTCGGAAAAACCGGAAATAGCTGAAAAGCTACGGATAGGGGGATGTATCATGTGAATGATATGGGGTGAAGAGCACGTCTATAGCTCTTTCCATGCTATAATGCCGTTCTAATCGTCGTGGAAAAAAGTCGTGTTCACAACAAGAGGAGCCGTGGATGGACCAGCATCGATCATCTCCACATCGCTCCTACCAGAACCATCATCCGTAGGTAGACCTAGGTTCGAGCGACGGAAATCGCCCGTCAAAGGCCGGGTAGGTGAAGGCTCGGCGAGCTTTTGAGGTAAAGAAAGCGGTCTTTCGCAGAAGGCGTCTTCCGGAGGCGAGAATGACCAGACCTATTCTTTATGTGAGAAACGCTTGTAATATATTAACTTGGATAAACTTACCTCCATCATAACCCTACTTCCCCTGTTCGCTACCGCGACGCACTTTTCGTCCTCAAATACTACCCTCCAGACAGACTCAGCCGTAATAAGTTCCCGTACGAGGTGGCCCGTTTTCACGTCCCAGACTTTGACCCTGCCATCGCTACCACCGCTTACGACACGCGTATCGTCAAATTGAAGGCTGGTGACACTGTTGTCATGTGCTGCTAGTCGGTGAATAGGGCACATCCTTTCAAGAGACCAAACCCTAACGGAACCATCTGAGCCTCCTGTGACCAGTGTATTGCCCCGTAGCTGTAACTGGCCAACGAGAGAAGTATGGCCTTGGAGAACGGCGATGCCATCACTTTCATCCGAGTTAGTATGAACACCTAAATCCATCGTGTACGTGGAAAACATACCCTGTGTGAGCATCCCAGACGCGCACGCTAGTATCGAGGCTTCCGGTAACAACTCTGTGACCATCAAACGCGATGGCATATATCTGACTAAAGTGGCCAGAAAGTGTATGCAGACACCTGCCTTCAGATATGCTCCATATCTTGGCCGTCGCATCGTAGCTACCAGAGACGACTATGTCGCCTTTTATTTCCAGGCATCTCACACTTGCTTGGTGCCCGACCAGGACGTTCTTACAAACTCCTTGCCTAATATCCCAAACTCTCAAGGTAGTATCGCGCGAGCCGGAAATGGCCGTGTTCGCATCCGACATCTTAAGGCAACGGACCGTGGAAGTGTGGCCGCGTAAAGTATACAGACATCTCCTATCGACGTAATTAGTTAAACTCATGCGAGTTTCGAGCAATAATCATACCCAGATGTCATATCCCAGACCCGTACGTCGCGATCGCACCCACCACTGACCAGGATGTCTTCCCACGGTACCATAGCCCAAACGCCCATGATATGACCCTGAAGGGTACGAAGGGCATTGCCTTCCCGATCGAAGATATGGATTCTCGCATTATCAAGAGCTACCACGATATATTGCGGGGTTAAATGGAGACTGGTCACAACTCTATTATCTTGGGTAATAGTCCGCGTGGTATTACGCCCTCCAGTTCTCCAGGCGGACTCAACAAGATATCTCTGTTTAAAGTGCGACTTATACGACCTAAGCTTAGGGCGCCCGGTAGTCGAAGAGCTTTCCGTAGAGCTGTCGAAGCTACGAGTCGAAGAATGAAACGTCGAAGGGCCAGGAATAGCGCCGGGAAAGCTGTGAGTGTACTCGGGATCAGATAGAGGTAATATCCCAGGCCTAATTGCCGCAAATGGCGGAACTCCATATGAGACTTCAGAGAGGCGACGGCCGTAATCGTGCTTAACACAGAGATTCTTCCATGTTACATCGTCGCTTAAAAGATCCCTCCACCTCCTGGATACCTGTGATGCTCGCGCAAGTACTTGCGGATCATCTATGAACGATAATATCCTCAAGCACAACTCGTCGGGTAGGCTGGTAAAAGGGTCCTTCTTCAGCAGAGGGCTCACGAATTGATGTACAAAACTGAGCTGCTGTGTCGTGCACATATTTAGTAAGTCGGCAAGGACCCGCGTTCTTTGTGGCCCCGAACAGGCCTTGAAGTGATGGCGCATTTGAGAGAGAAAAAAGTCTTCGTCATCGGCGGCATCACTCCAGTCGGGTTGCGTATCCGTGGGTCCCGGCGAGGCCGCAGGCGTAGGAGGTGGCGGCGGAGAGCCCGTAACTTGCTGGTCGAAATCCGGAGCCGGCGTGCTCATGCTGGGCGTAGGCGGGCCCCTAGGCCGGGGTTGTTGGATCATCTTATCCATCCTCTGATTTATGATGACGGGACCGGTACTAGTCGTGTCCAAAGTCAACTCTTCAGCCCGGTTCGAGACGCTGGCTCTCCTTTCCGAGAGACTACCGTAACCTGCCATCTATATGCTACTTTATATATCAAGTTTGTATATTCGCTATCCTACGACGATCCGTCGACCGTCCCGACCACGATCGACGAGTGAATTGCCGGGCCCTTTGAGGCAAAATGTATTTGCCTGTACGGTATTAGTTAATAGGATGGACAGATATGTTGAGTGTATTTCGTAGTTAAAATGCGACGGCAAGTAAGCGCCGTGTAAAGGCTCGTATATAGATTGTCCGCGTGCAGGAAGTGCTAATGTTGGAGTAGGGGCACACAAGGATAGTTCTGCATACGTTCGGGGTCAATGAGACAAGCCGCGTCCCAAGACACACAATTGGTAGGTCAAACGACCTACGGTAGTATCTAAACCAGGCCTACAAGGGTAAAGACAAACTAACACTGTCCGGATGGGCGAAAGAGGCTACGATGGGGAAGGACGGTATAGCGACGAGAAAAGGAAGCGCGAAGAGGGTTTAGTAACGCATTGGCAGCATATATGTCGTCTTTGAAAGGCTGTGGGCGGAAGGCAAAAAACGGAGATTTCTCGAGGAGCGGAGGAGAGAGACTAGTCTACAAAGTACATAGACGGAAGGGGAAGGGGGTGGGTGGATATCGAATTCTCAAGCCCCTTACAAGCGTATCGTTGGTATCGGTTCAAAATTGTAAGAGGAATGATGATGGTGTAATAAAAGGTAGTGAGTGCAGTCAGTTGAGGATGGTAAGATGTGATTCTCCAAAGTGGAATGGGGGTTAGGGAAGCGGATCCTTAGCAGAGATGAGCAGGAACGTGCCTCCCCATGGTAAGTCCATAAAGTTTCTCCCGCCGGGGGAGGTGCTACACTAGCGCTACAGTATATATACTGTATTAAATTAAAGGCTGCAGAGATGTACTCTGCATAGTACATACCTACCTGACCTTTAAGGGCCATTATGCATGTATGCTTAATATATAAACTCGGGTTCGCATATAAGATAGGCGAGACTGCCGACGGTGTCCTCTTCTTTGTCTCTTGATGATCCAAAACTATAAGCGACGTAATCTCTATAATCACTATAGTCAAGCCCTTATTGGTTGATAATAGCGACTATACTCTTTAGAATAGTTGTACAGACACGATTTAAAGTTCAAACGTTTGGGCACTTGTACGAAGTATATAGGTAGTTACATGTATGTGTAATGTACATATCGCGGTACATATCGTGGGTAGTACAGAATTTACACAACATAGTACAATTAGTAAGAATGAGGAGTCCGTCTCTGCACAGTGCTCGCACGTATGTATCTAATGTAAGTTCTTATTTAGCAACACCGGGAATCTAAAACGTTTCGTCTCGCTAGGGTCTATCGATTTTCTAGTCCTAAATTTACATTACCTAGTCGGTGCCCTTGACTTAGAATCTGCATGTATTTCTGTAAAAGGTAGTGAGGGACATCAATTCGTCGCAATCTCAAATTACTGTATTCCTGGTTCACCAAAGTTCCATAGCGAACAATTGCTACCCTCCAGCTAATGCACAATCCTATAGACAATCGCATTCATTAGGTACCTCATATGGAAATTCCTTTTGAGGTCTACGGGCGGTTACAACGACCGGGCTAATGCAAATCCCTGTCCTAAAGACTAAAGATCGTAAACGGTAACACATGTCCTGTACCTCAAATACAGTACACTATATCCGGCGATAAAATCTGTAAATATACTTCGCGCCATACCCGAATTCTTATTCGCCGCCGCCGTCCTTGTCCACTTTTGGGAAGGCTGTTTCCGCAGTTCCCACTTCGGTGCCGCGGGCGCTTCTGCGCTTGGGAAAATCCATGGATGTAGTTAACAGACGGATGATGTGAGTACCAGCTCGTGGCTGCATAGGTACGCTTCGTGCCATTCAATGTTACAGCATTGCGGGCAGAATGCGGGCCATTGTTCACTCACTTATACGTTTTCGTCTACCCGTGCTTTTATCTAGAGCTTCTACTTGAAGAGCCAGGACGAGTCAAAATGTGTTCCATATGTTCGACCGAATGCGCACGGCATTGCTATCTTCATCAACTTACCCAGCTTATCAGAGTTTGCCAGCGCATTGCCGTCTGTAC